ATATATATATATATATATATATATATATATATATATATATATATATATATATACATACACATATGTATATATATATAAACATATGTACATACCAGTCGCCTGGAATGTTGGTTGAACAGAGCATCGCTTTGGACAGATACGCTGCACAGGATTCACCATCAACCTCCTCCTCACACCCCACTCTCTCTTGTTGTTCCTGCGCAATCACAGTAGTTCTAGTCATCACATGATGCATGATAGGGCGGCCAGACTGTCCACCCTAAAGCCGGACAGTCTGGATTTTCATTGCACTGTCCGGCATCTGGCGCCGCATCCAGCCGGACATGTATTTGTACTCCTTAATGAAGCACTAGGCTTGTAGAGCAGATTTTTATTTTTTACTTTTTTTTGCTGGGCTGCAGCACAATATCCAATAATCAAAAATGCATCACTATCTGATCTAACAGGTGATTGGCTAAGAGTGGCGACGTGTCAGATAAAGATCTGCTTGTCATTGGTTAGAAAAGTAAACAAGGATCAGAATTACTGATGCTAAGTATTAAAGTTAGCGTCTAAACCAGGACGTCGTTTAACCCAGAATGGACAAAAGAGTGTGAATTTATGACCAAAGGTAGTGCAGATTCATTCCATGGTTTCTGCCACTTTGTCGATGCGATGTGGACGAAAACAGTCGAGGAAAAGCTGCAATTGAACTGTGTGCGAGTATGGATTAACATAAAAGTAATAAACAGCGAACTCTTCAATGTTGGCTTTAACAGTAAGTTTTGTCGCCCCTGGATGCTAAAATAATTTGCGCAGAGATGGAAGGTGGACTACACCATAAAACATCATTAGTCCTACGGAAGTGTTGACTGTGACTGAAAGTGGATTTCAGTGATTCGCCCATAGCTAAAGGGACCATACAGACAGGTCTGCTGCAAACACAGACACTTAAGATAAGTTCCCAAAAGACTGAGGCTCTAAAAAATAAAGCTTTACTTTTAGAGCAGTTGAAAGTGTTTTCTACAATCTCTTTTGTTGTTTAAAAAAATATTAGGCTATTTTATTATGAAAGTTTCTTCTTAAAACGTTTAAGTCCACACATCTTATGCTTTGTGGTATTCTGCACTTTAAAGATTCATCTCTGTGGTCACTTTTAAACACCACAATGTATTAAATAATTACAAATGCTGGGAACCAATTCTTTTTTACATCTCTTTAATATTTTGTTCTATTCAGCTACACAAGCATCCTCTTTAAACTACTAAGAATTGTACTATAAATATGACTTTACCCGATTCTTATGTAAACCTTAGTAATTTATTGATATGCCACACAATGTCCTCCTTTTTGGTGCTATAGAAATGGTCACCCTATGCATGAATTATCATGTATTACCTGCATGCTCTCACTGGCATTAAATAAACACCACCTTCCATAGTCTAAAATCCGTGATAATTTATCAGACTCGCATTCATCCGTGAACAACTGTCCACATTAGGGAGACTCCCGGAACTTCCGGGAGACTTGGGATGTCTGAAGGGTCCCCTTATATAGCAGAGAACTATTTTTCCAGAAGAGATAGGATTCATGTAGGCATGTAATGCATCATTTTCTCTCCAGTTTCCTAGCATATTCAGAGTGCGCAGTTCTGTATTAAACCAGAGAGCCACCTTCCATTTTTAAAGTTTCACTTTTTGAAAGGAGCTGCATCAGTGTTTTCCACGTGTACCCCCAGTGGCCCACGAGTGCATTGCAAGGGCTTCATGAAAATGTTTTAATACGACAGAATATCAAAATATTAAAGAGGTTTTGTTCATTTTGCAAAGTACTAGGAAGGTTACTGAAACATTGATTGATCTAAAACCTCAAACATTTCCCATCTTTGTTTAATATGAGAGACATTTCATATGTGGTAAAAAAAAACAAAAAGCATTGAAATCAATTATTTAATTATTCTGGAAAGTTCATGAAGGAACTATTACTAAATAACTATTTGTGAAGAGAACACAGCCTGTTGAGAGTCAGTCAGCTTAGCATCCCTCTGGGTCTATAGGGCTCGGGATCCACGTTGCATTGTGGGACGTCGCGGCTACGCAAACATAAACATAGCTCTGATACAACGTTGTTGTTGAAAGAAGAGACGTAGAATTAGAGAGAAAAAAGATGTTAAAATCCCAAAAAAGATCTGGAATTTACCAGGACACATTAAGTAGAGAAGCCAGGAACCGGTATGTTGACAAAATCAGCATTATTAATAATTTGGATCGATATGAAGTTCCAAACAATGAGTGGAGCACCGATGAGTGAGCGCCTATACTTCAAAACAGTTCCGAAGCTACAAGTCCTTGGAGTCTCATGTGCAGTTCATGAATGGATGGGTTCAGGAGCTGCACATCATAAATCCAGCAAACAGTGGGAACACAGTAGCCTAATCCGTACGAAGGTCAGCTGTGATCAGACGGGCTCTGG